TGAGAAATCAGGATTAAATGGATTCAAAGTTTTGGCATCACAGGGTTGAATGTTTTCCTGGCTCCAGGGTTGGTTTTTTTTTTTTTTAAAATATATTTTATTGATTTTTTACAGAGAAGAAAGGAGAGAGAGAGAGAGAGTTAGAAACATCGATCAGCCGCCTCCTGCACATCTCCTACTGGGGATATGCCCGCAACCCAGGTACATGCCCTTGACCGGAATCGAACCTGGGACCTTTCAGTCCGCAAGCCAACGCTCTATCCACTGAGCCAAACCGGTTTTGGCTCCAGGGTTGGTTTTAAAGGCTTTTTCGTATTTGTCTTGGTGACATGTGTCATCTTGTGATATTGACATAGCTCACTAGACGGGCCTGAGTAAGCTGGCCCATCTTGTCCTCGATGCAGAATTGATGCATTTGAACTATCCGTGGTGAACTATCCGTTGTGAACTGCAAGTGGTGGCGGCTGTTCTGTGACTGATAAGAAAATGAACTAAGCAGCTTATAAGTAGAGGTGATGGACTAGGTGCATCTTTATTTGTGTATATTTACAAAATCTTATGCTGTCCTGTTGAGTTTTGATTAGACAAAATCACACAAAAATGTGTAATTCATGCTGTGTAAAGATTATTTGTCATGGCTGTAAGAGATCACTGTGGCAAAGACAGCAAGCTTCACATGCTGTCTAACAGACAGCATAAAATCGTGTTCATCTTAGTTTTATTTTATTTAATTTATTGATTTGAGAGAGAGAAACATTGACTTGTTGTTCCACTTATTTATGCATTCATTGGTTGCTTCTTGTATGTGCCCTGACCATGGACCAAACCCAAAACCTTGACATATCAGAACGATGCTCTAACCTACTGAGCTATCCAGCCAGGGCTTCACCTCAGTTTTGCACTGTAAGTGGTTTTAGGATCGAATTCTAGACTCCACCAGCACTGCACACCTGTGAAGTGAAGTAGGAGGTAGGAACTCCGGACTCTGGGAGACAAGAGCCCTGGTTCTGGTCTGGGCTTTGCTGTTTACTAGCGAGGGGACTTTCTGTGGTTGGATTCTGCTTTAACAGTTAAGCTCTCTACACTCTCATTTTCTTTTCTGCAAATAGGAGGGATGTTGAACTCAATCCAATTTTATGGGCCAGTAAATTTTATTTAAACAACAATTTGGGAGACTTATCTGGGGGTGCCCAACTTTTCATTTTGCCCAAGTTAGAAAACTATCATATATATAGGAATATTAAAAACTAATTGGGTAAAAAAATAAAAATAAATAAAAATAAAAAAAATAAAAAATAAAAGGCTAATGTGCAAATTGACTGAACGGAGGAATTACCAGTCACTATGATGTGCACTGACCACCATGGAGCAGACGCTTAACACAAAAAAATAAAAAAAAATTTATAAAAAAAAAACTAATTGGGATGTATATATGTTATATTTCAATACATTTAAAAAAAAACTAATTGTGATAATAATGAGGAACAGAGAAAGACTACATTTATTTCTTAAATTCCAAACTGCCATTTACAATCACTGTCTTTTCATTAAAAAAAAAAAGACTATTTTAATTTGACAAAACTGGGGAAATTTTAATCTCAGACTAAAGAACAATCCTTTAAATTGAATTCACCTTGATTTTTAAAGAAATGGGATAGATTATCCAGATATATATCAATTTTCTGTGGACCAGTGAAAATTTTATCATAAACTCATGATTGAAATGAGTAATTTATAAGATCACTTGTAGCTCTTACATTCTGTGATTCTGTGAGGCTCCTCGTAGAACATTTTACTGCTATTTCCTCCACCCTTCAGACCCATTAGAACTCTCTCATGAAAGTCACTGAGTGGCAGAGGTTGGCGATGAACGTGCTCTCCCTGCATATGAACGAGTTTCACTCCATCAATCAGTTACTTGGCTCACCATCCCCATCCTCTGCTTTCTACCCCAAATCCTTGTTTGTGTGTGTGTTTGTTTTTGAAATCTGTCTTCCTAAGGCCATAAAAATCCTCCTTATTTTTAGTTGGAGCTCCTAGAGAGAAAAGTCCCTCATCATCATCATGGTACCAAAAAGAAACCCAGGACTCCTAACTGCACCCAGTGTTACAGGAGCAGAGAGTGCTGAGCACGTCTGAAAGAGCGCCTCCTGCAGGCGCACTGTGTCAGGTCTGAAGGACACTCGGGGCCACATTCTAAGCCTGAGGCCTTTTGTCAGCTCATTCCCCGAATTCTGTGTGGGCTTGTCCCACGTGTGTAATCGGACCAATTGCAGTTTCTTGGGTTCATTTGGTCAGCCTCCGATGGACTTTCGGCCACGTCTCCAGGCTGGCTTCTAAGCGTGTGATACAAAGATGTTCAAGAGTCCCAGGCCCCTGCCTCCTGCGGCTATTAATTTATACTTCTGTGGCATGTTTTTCAGCTCCTTTCTCTTTGCCCTTCATAAATGCTGTCCCCCGAGTAGATCTTGAGGGAACTGCTGATGCAGATCTAAACTCTGGGGGTGTTTTTCTCCTTGGTTACAGACACTTGGTAAATGATGTTTCAGGTGATGGGAAAACCCACTGTCAGGAGAGAATAGCACCTCTTATTTTACAGTAGCTAACCTGTGGCCCAGGCACTCAGTTAAAAGGGACCTTCCCTAGTGTGTGTGTGGGAGAGGGGTGACGTCCAGGCCTCCGTTTTGTTTGTCATTCATTTTTATTTTTGTTTTGTTGTTTTAATCCTCACCCGAGGATATTTTTCCATTGATTTTTAGAGAGAGGGAAAGACAGAGAGAAATATCCATGTGAGAGAAGCACATCAATTGGTTGCCTCCTGCATGAGCTTCGACCAGGGCCCTGGCCGGGGAGGAGCCTGCAACCAAGGTATGTGCCCTTGACCGGAATTGAACCCAGGACCCTTCAGTCCGAAGGCTGACGCTTTATCCACTGAGCCAAACGGGCCAGAGTTCATCCGCTTATTGATCGGATGTTATCACAGAGAAAGGAAAGGCATACAGAGAAAGAAGCCAAAGCAAGCACATAGGATGAAATCCCCTCATCTGAAACGTATAGCCCCATCGGGACCGTCACCCCAGGCAGAGCCCACAGACCTCCGGCGGCCTTGGGCACCTGCTCTGCTCCTGCCTTTTTCCTGTAGGCAGTTTTGGAGGGAATATAAAATATGGGAGACAACAGCCTGTATTA